AAAATTCATGTGTCTTTAACAACATTTTTTTTCTGACAACTGTTTTCTCTTATCATCTATAAACTTGACTTCTTCTCTAGTCAAAGGTCTTTCAGGGTAATCCAAGTAATTCTTACCCTCTTTTGGTAATAAATGGTTATATTTTTCATTGGCTTCTTCTGCAATCAAGGGTCTTTCTATGTAATCTCTGACAACATTAGGATCACCCTTCTCTGGACTTAATTGATTATATTCTTGTTGAGAAATGATCTCAATAGTGCCATCTTTTTTTATTTTAACTGGTATACCTCTGTCTATATCTTTCCCTGAAAGAACTCTCTTTCCAAACTGAATTTTACTCATTCCTTTACTCATTTCTTTACTGGAGGTGTTACCCATGGTTAATATGAAAAAGTCAAAATCTTATGTTACAACTTGTATTTATACCCTTTTTGTCTATATTTAGAATTCCATCAAGCTTATATTGTATAACAATTTTTTTTTTTTTCAACTAAGACTTTTTTAAAATATTTTTCAGGATTCTCTAGTGAGGGCTTATGGAAATGATCTATGTCTACTCTCAGAATGGTGAAAGACTATCAGATTATATGCAAAGGCTAACAGAATATCCTCTCTTGGAATACTGAAACAAGAAAATCAAACAGGAGATGGATGGAGGATTTAAGAAGCACATAGATAAATATGATTTCCAACGAATTTAACCAGTATTATCATAGACTGTGGTTTACAGGATGACAAAGTAACAGGATTGTATCTTTTTACTGTCAGACACTGACTATGGATAAGATGTACCCATTTATTAAACTGAGATCTAGTCAAATCAAGTACAATTGTATTGAAAATATGATTTTCTGATAGCATGAACTCTTTAAAAATTAATTCTCACAGACCTCAAAGTATCTGAATGTGACTTTTATTTTTACCAATTTCTATTGAAGACTGTTGTTATGTATGAGAAGTGTACATTTAAACCTTTTATTTTTCATCTTATTTCTATAACCCCCTAGAAATTACACAGATATTCAGATGCTGGATTTAATATTATTATTTAACTTTCCTGGAATGGTAAATATATTTTGTTTGTGTATGTATCATTTTTTAATTTTGAATTTAAAAAAGTCATATGAAAGTGATTTTTTCCATAAAATTTTTACTTGATTATTTCATCTAAAGTGCAGATACATGTGTATATGTAAAAAATAGCTTTGAACATATCATGCAACCCCTGCATGGTTGGAAGTTCTGTTCTAAATTAAGATCTTACAGGTAGTGTTGTACTTCACTTATAAGTGACTTATAGATGACTAATACTTGATAAAGTATGAAGGGTTAATTGCTTGACTTATAAGTCACTTATAGTCACTTATAAGTGACTCTACTTGCATAAAGCATAAGTGGCTAATACTGGCTTATAAGTCACTTATAGGTCAAGCAGCTCATTTGCATATAAAATCCTAATGAGTAACATATTAGTCACTTGTAAGTTAAATGTATCAGTGAAGTGTAAGTCCAGAATAAACAACTTATAAGTATAAGAATAAATCACTTATAAGTCACTTATCAGAAATTTCTGTAAGGGGAGCCCCGCCCTAACACCAGAACCCCCAACCCAGGGGCCATGAAATTCACAATTTTGGAAGAGGTAGCCTTATTCAACATAACTATGTACTTGGTTAGTTTATTCAATACTCAGGAGCAAAGAAGATTTTCAAAAAAATAATTCATTTTTTACTATATAATCTATATAACCCTGCCCTAGCACTAGAACCCCTGACCCTGGGGCCATGAATTTCACAACTTTGGAAGAGGCAGCCTTATTCAACATAGCTTTGCACTTGGTTAGTTTATTTAATGCCCATGAACATAGAAGAAGAATTTCAAAGAATTTTTGCATTTTCACTATAATATTATTTATATAGCCCCACCCTACCACTAGAACCCCTGACCCTGGCGCCATTAAATTCACAATTTCAGAAGAGGCAGTCTTATTCAACATAACTATGCACTTGGTTAGTTTATTTTAAATGCCCACAAACAGAAAAGAATAATTTCAAAGAATTGATGCATTTCACTATAGCCCCGCCCTAGCACTAGAACCCCTGACCCTGGGGCCATAAAAGTCACAATTTTGGATAAGGTGGTCATTTTCAACTTACCTATGCACTTGGTTAGTTTATTTAATGCCCAGAAACGGAAAAGAATTAAAAAAAAATAATGCATTTTCACTATATAACCTGTTTAGCCCCGCCCTAGCACTAGAACTCCTGACCCTGGGGCCATGAATTTCACAATTTTGCTAGAGGACTAAATGCTGATTACAATCATACCAACAGTTTAACTGCTCGATGTCTAGGAGTAAAGAAGAAGATTTTTAAAGATTGCACTAATTTTAGTGGTTTTTTGCCCCACCCCGCAGGCCCAAGGGGGGCTGGGACCATGAAATTCACAATTTTTGTTCCTCTTCACCCATACATGCTATATGCCAAATTTGGTTGAAATTGGTTCAGTGGTTTCAGAGAAGAAGCTTGAAATGTTCAAATGTTAACGTACGACGACGGACAAAAACAGATAAACTGGTTTAGAAATCAGGATGTTATTAAAATTTTGAATATTTTTCATACATTACGAAGATATACTAAACAGATTTTGAGGAACGTCTTGTCTGACCTTAACTTCATTCTTTTGAAACTTCAAAATTTTCATCACTACATATCACTTTGAATAAAGTCACAGTTCTCCAAATGGTCTATTCTTTTGAACAATGCTGAATCTAGTTTATCCAAAGAAGTTTGGTTGAAGTTGTCTATGATGGCTTGACTATATAAAGCAGAGGGGCACCAGACACTTTGATCAGAAAGCTCATTGGATAAAAATAGCAATACATGGCTTACAAACTCTAGGCTGTGGGTCCCCCAATTTGCAAGATATATTAAACTGACACCTTTGGAGAGGGGGTCATTGAAGTTCTTTGAAATAAAAATTTAATTTTCTGAAAATTAAGATGTTAGCTAGGAAATTCGACATCCAGAATACATATAAGGAAAATTCCATATTTGAACACAACAGAATGATCTACGTATTTCTGTTTAAATCAATGTATATTTATCAAGTATTTATTTGAGTTGTCAGATAAAAAAAAAAAGGAGTTATATTACAGATGCCTAGCATTTTTTCCATTCTTACAATTCAAATAACATTTCTTCATTTAAAAGATAAATTACAGTAATTCACTTTGAAATTCGAATTTAAAACCAAAAAATTAATAAGTATAAAACCCATCCATTTGCTTCTAGACAAAATTACACAGTGATTCCTACAAGGTACTCCAACATTCTTGTGTTTGGCTCTAATTAAGCCTTTGCAATGATAAATATTGATAATTTGCTTCATTTCTTTTATATTGATAATTTGCTTCATTTCTTTTAGAGAATGCGGGTTCATAAAGGTGTCATCGATTGATAGAATTTACACAGTGACTCTCAACAGTGTGTTCAATTTTCAAATACATAAAAACAAAATCATGCTTTTGCATAAATCAAGCATGGTGTTGGTTTAAAGCAAATGAACAAAAAAGACTTTAAAAACATCAAGTCTTCTTGATGACAAAAATTTAGTCAAAATAGATCTTTCCTCTGAGTGGTAGTTAAATTTAAGTTCAAAATTATTTAAAATTTGTTAATTTTCTTAAAATTTCGAGGTAACAGAATTTCCCAGTAGATGTTTCCAATTTCTAGAGGCCAGGCCTTATACATGAAAAAAAAGTGGAAAATCCCTTTCCTGTGTAATATTTCATCGTTAATATTGTAATCACTGAACACAATTTTATTCAAAAGAAATATACTGTATAAGGTGTCAGTTCAAGTATCCATTAATTGTATTATCTGCTCTAAGGCAGGGGTATCCTCCGGGGCCACCGGAGTCATTGTGGCCCACTTACGAGTCTCCATGTAATGCTTCTATCTTCTATATTACATGAGCCCCCCAAGTGAGTATATGTGTACTGTATATGTAAAATGAAGAAATAAAAATTGAGTCTTTAATTCTCATCTTTTAAATAATACAATGATTGAGAATTCTCATTAATTAAATTTATTATATATAAGGTTTTCGATTTTTACTTTTTTAGGCTTTGTATTATGTACAAATTTTTCTCATTTTATATACAGTTGTCACACACAGGTATCAATTTCTACTCTACAAGCAATAGATATACTGATATATTAAAATAGGATATGAAACAAGTTTAATTATATACATGATCTGAAAAGAAGGACATAATATCTTCAAATTATTCTGTTTCCATGTCCATTTTCAATTTCTGGTCCTACAGGACAAGATAATAGGGTTCTACCAGAAAAAAGGAAAATGATACAATATCTGAAAAAAAAATGTGTTTGTAAAACACTGATGCCCCTAGTAAGATCTCTCATTGCCATGCATATGGATTCTCAACTGCAAGTCAATCAAATTTCCTGCTATGAAAGCTCGATCTGCAAACAAAAGTTATTTGAAATCTTCTGCTGTAGTGAAACAAGTAATGGTCATAAAAATACATCATACTCCAATTCATTCTCAACATTTCATTTTCCAATTTAAAATGTTATGTGTCAGCATTAAAATAACTTAATAATAAATTGATTATCATACATTTAAGTTTGATGTACATGCGTCAATACTGAAACACAAAAGAAACACCTCTTATTTTAAGGGAAAAAATTAAATAAAGTATAGCTCTGATCTAAAAAGTAAGAACATTTTTTACAAATTGCAAATCAGTAAATTTGGAAATTCTCAAAATAAAGGTATAGAAAGAATCATGACTCATCCAGCCTGTGTGTATCAGAAGAATGAATGTTCTTAGACCTGGTCCCGGAATCATGATGCATCTTAAGCTTAAGTCAAAATCTTCCTGTTGTACATTAATATTGTAGAAGTCAAACAGACCAAAATCAAAACTATTTTACAATATTGTTTTACAAAAGTGTTGAACTTAAGTTTGTTTCATGATCCTGGGACTAGAATTCCAAGGGTTACTACATTGTGCCAAAGCAAGGAAAACCCGACCTCAGCTTCAGGAAAAGGGGAACTTAAAAAAGCCAAAGAATATTTTTATTGCTCAAATCAATAGATTTATAAACCTAATTAATGCATTGTACAAATAAGCTGTTATTGTGCATGGTGGACTTGCATACTGTAAATGAGTGGTTGGCGGGATGGGTAAAGATTCATGTGTTATTTTCAAAGGTTTCAACAAATAAATCAAATCTCTGATGTTTTTGAGTGTACATTTTAACAAACTGAATTCATTTTTTAGAGACCATTCAATGAAAAATTCATTTGTTGTTAACTGCTTGTTGCATTTCTTTTGCATGTCAGTATATTTTTAAAACTTCATTGACAGAAAAAAATCAGACTGAAAGCTTTTGTACTCCCTTCTGGTATTTCAGCCTCCTTTGTCTCCTCAGATTAATCACTTTTATCCTGATCTTCTTGGTTTTCTCCCCAGTTGGATAATCCCTTAGAATGTTTGGATTCTTGGTAAGGAATTTTTTTATTTTATTTGCCACTGTAAAGTTTAAGAAAATAAGAGGCCCATGGGCCACATCGCTCACCTGAGAAGCTTTGACCATTCTGTTCTTTACTTGCTTTCCCCCTTGTAATACATATTGTGACCCCACCCTACCCCACTGATCATAATTTAGACAATTTGAAATCTACACTACCCCAGGATGCTTCCACATAAGTTTCAGCTTAACAAAGATTGTCCAATATATTACTATGTAAAACTTTGATTCCCCATTGTGGCCCCACCCTAACCCCCCCCCCCTCGGGTCATGATTTGAACAATTTAGAATCTACACTACCCCAGGATGCTTCCACATAAGCTTCAGCTTTTCTGGCCCAGTGGTTATTAAGAAGAAGAAGATTTTTCCTATATATTTCTATGTAAAACTTGGATTCCCCATTGTGGCCCCGCCCAATCCCCGGGGGTCATGATTTGAACAATTTAGAATCTACACTACCCTAGGATGCTTCCACATAAGTTTCAGCCTTTCTGGCCCAGTGGTTCTTGAGAAGAAGATTTTTTAATAAACCCACCCTATTTTTGTCTTTTCTTGATTATCTCCCCTTGTTAAGGGATTTGGCCCTTCATTTTAACAATTTAAATTCCCCTTCACCCAAGGATGCTTTGTTCCAAGTTTGCTCAAAATTGGCCCAGTGGTTCTTCTAGGAAGAAGTCAAAAATGTGAAAAGTTTACGGACGGACAGACGGACACAATGTGATCAGAAAAGCTCACTTGAGCCTTCGGCTCAGGTGAGCTAAAAATTAGTCAGCATGGTAAGAATAATTATTCTTTTTAGATTAGATTATGTAAACCCGTCTAGTCGTTTACTGTCAGTCAGGGTCTCAAAACGGAAGCCATTGCCCAAAAAACATGAATCAAATCTATGCTATAAGGAAAAGTGCAGATATTTTGATCAAAATGCAAACAGTCTGGATCAAACTGAAGAGAGTAATATGAATTTTTAATCAAATTGAAGAGGCAATTTGAAAATATCAATTGTTAATCACACTTGTAAATATTACCGTGTAATGGTCCTGCATTCCCCTCGTTTTCGAAATCATTGATATCTTCCTTGAAATATGATTGTATGGCTTTATCCTCCTCTGGTAGCCAGCTGTGTCTCTTGACTTTCCTTGATGCAGCTGTCAAAGAGAATTCGTTCAAATCAAAGAAAAGGTTTGGAAATTAACATACCTACAATGTTAGGGGAATAGTAGCTGTAATTTAATAGCTTAATGATTAAGCTATAACAGATGAAAAACCTAGCATTTTTAGGTTGACCTTCTACATCATAGGGCATACAATTTTAAGTAAAATTAATCCATTTGAAGTACCAAAGCAAGGAACTAACATATTAGGTAATCAAAGATTACAGAGCTCATCTCAATGAATGTTGTCATTAAGTAGGGCAAAGTCCCACAATTAAGCAACAAAACGTGTACATCCAAAAATGCAAAATTTATGAAATTTTGATTTGATACTTTGGAATAGGCCTATATAAAAACTTCAAACTAGTTCTTCAACATGAAAACCTAATTAAAATTCAGCTTCTGAAGCAACTTTGAGAGTTTTCATCCCTTGATGCATCATTTGTGCAAGTTTGGTTTATAGAAGCCTTATAGTTTCTTGGTAATAGACCTGCACCCATAACTTTAACCAGGTCCATTATCTTGAAAATGTATGTCGAATTCAGCATCTGAACATTAGTGTGCATCCTAAGATGTATCATCCATGCAAGTCTGCTTAAAATATCGCTCAAAGTTATTAAGAAATGAAACCTGTATAAAAAAAATAACCTTTTCACTAATCCAGAAAATGTAAGTCAGATTCAGCATCTAAAGCCAGCCTGGGAGAATGCTGTTTGCGCCTTTAGAATTATAATTCATGCAAGTTTGGTTACTGAAGAGCTCAAAGTTACTTGAACCTGTTCATAAACTTTAAACCGGAAAATGTAGGTCAGATTCAGCAACTGAAACAAGTCAGTAGTTATGCATCTAAGATGTACCATCAGCATGCAAGTTTAGTACCATTATAGTTTTTCATTGTACTGTATCTTTGAAATGAAAACTGCATCAAAAACTTTAACCTGTTCACTCAACTCGAAAATGTAGGTCAGATTCAGCATCCGAAGCAAGCCTTGTAATGTGCATCCTTTGATGTATCATCCCTGCTGTTTGCTCAACATAGGGCTCATAGTTTCTCAGAAATGAGACCTACACCAAAAACTGCACCAAAAATGGTAACCTGCACCAAAAACATTAACCTGGTCATTCCTTTGCTGAAATTGCACCATCTGAAACTTTGACTGGTACAATGAAACCCACTAGAAACATCTATGCAAGTCTAATCAATATAGGACATACAAGTACTTAAAAAGAAAACTGCTCCAAAAACTTAACCTGTTCAGCTCATACCGGACAAATGTATCACATAAGCTCCCCAAAGCAAGGTGAGCTAAAAATGACCTAAATTAAATAACACCATGAACTTTAACCAGGATGCTGACGATAACACAGACACTGACGTCAAAGCTGAAGAAGATCTTTGAAGAAATAATCTATTTTTGTGTGGACCCTCAGGTCAACGAAGTAAATATATATAAGCGAGGTTAAACTGGATGCCCTGGGCTATGCATGAGCGAGAATGCTAACTTAGGTAACGTATTTAAAAAAAATTAAAAAATGCCATTCATTGGCAAATCGCTCTTTTAAATTTGCATATCGCATTTACATATTGGCGGATCTGATTTTCTCTCTTTTACAAATACCTTTATTTACAAACTAAATATTGATTCTATGCAGGTACAAGAACTTGCAGTTTATAGATACATGTAATTAGAGTGAAAAACGTCATTCAATGACTAGTTCTAGCTTTTAAAAGATAGAACAAGTTTTCACCGGCATTAGTTTTGTGCATCAAGACTCATAAAATAATTTAATATTTCAGCAATCTAAATATTGTTTGATAAAGGTTTGTAGCAACGGCTTTAAATGTGTGTGTGTGGGGGGGGGGGGGGAGGGGGGGGGTTAACAAAAAAAATCTGCGTTCTACATAGCTGCACTACTCGTAAACCATCAGATCTCTATTTTTCCCATGATACATTCTTCGTTACAAATCCAGAACAGATGTCAAGTCCCAGCCAGTATGGCATCGATTCTTTAAACTGACAAAACTAAAGACCGCTAATCAGAGATCGAATTTAACAATTTTGCTTTAAGACTACTTTCAGTCACAAGTAGGCAGATCATTGCGGAAAATGTGAACAAACTTAATACATGAATATTTCCTACTCCTAGAAATTTTCTTAATTGAATTTCAGTTAGAAAAACATGCATATGGTCCAAGTATTGCAGTCCTTTTTCAAAGAACAGCAACTTATCACTTTATAATCAATAGAGCCCGGCCCTAACACCAAAACCCCTGACCCAGGGGCCATGAATTTCAAAATTTTGGAAGAGGTATCACTGCTCATTAAAATCATGTCAACAGTATGACTGCTTGATGTCCAGGAGTAAAGAAGAGTAAAGAAGATTTTTAAAGATTGCGTTAATTTTAGTGGTTTGGCCCCACATCTCAGGCCCCAGGGGAGCAGGGACCCTGAAATTCCTTATATTTGTTACCCTTCACCTATAGATGCTGTATATAAAATTTGGTTGAAATTGGTTAATTAGTTCCAGAGAAGAAGTTAAAAAATGTTCAAAAGTTTACGAACGATGTACAACGACAGACGAAAAAGGATAGCAATAGGTCACCTTACTTAGGTGACCTAAAAAACAATAAACTAAGACAATATGTATCTCAGTCAGAATAAAACTGCATTTGGAGTAGCATTTTGAGAGTATTTTGCAAGAATTTCTTTATTTAGTAACCACAGCAACACTATTCATTGAAATAAAAAACAAGAGGCCCATGGGCCACATCGCTCACCTGAGAAGCTTTGGCCATTCCGTTCTTTACCAGATTTCCCCCTTGTAATACATATTGTGACATACTGTGACCCCATCCTACCCCAATGATTGGAATTTAAACAATTTGAATTCTACACTATCCCAGTATGCTTCCACATAAGTTTAAGTTTTTCTGGCCCAGTGGTTCTTGCGAAGAAGATTTTCAAAGATTTTTTTCTTTATGTTTCTATGTAAAACATTGATTCCTTATTGTGGCCCTGCCCAACCCCCCGGGGTCATGATTTGAACAATTTAGAATCTACACTACCCCAGGATGCTTCCACATAAGTTTCAGCTTTTCTGACCCAGTAGTTCTTGAGAAGGAGATTTTCAAAGATTTATTCTGTATATTTCTATGTAAAATATGGATTCCCTATTGTGGCCCCGCCCAACCCTTGGGGGTCATGATTTGAACAATTTAGAAACTACATTACCCCAGTATGCTTCCACATAAGTTTCAGCATTTCTGGCTCAGTGGCTCTTGAGAAAAAAGATTTTCTATATATTTTTCCCCTGTGGCCCCAACCTACCCCCTGGGGTCATGATTTGTATAATGTAAAACACTGATTCCCAATTGTGGCCCATAAGTTTAGCCCTCTGGGGTCATGATTTTCAAAGATTTTTCCTTTATATTTCTATGTAAAACTTTGATTCCCTATTGTACACAATTTATAATCTACACTACCCCAGGATGCTTCCATATAAGTTTCAGCTCTTCTGGCTCAGTGCCTCTTGAGAAGAAGATTTTCAAAGATTTTTTCTTATATTTCTATGTAAAACTTTGATTCCCTATTGTGGCCCCGCCTTACCCCTGGTGGTCATGATTTGAACAATTTAGAATCTACACTACCCCAGCATGCTTCCACATAAGTTTCAGCTTTTCTGGCTCAGTGGTTCTTGAGAAGAAGATTTTCAAAGATTTTTCCTATATATTTCTATGTAAAACTTTGATTCCCTATTGTGGCCCCGCCCTACCCCTGGGGGTCATGATTTGAACAATTTAGAATCTACACTACCCCAGGATGCTTCCACATAAGTTTCAGCTTTACTGGCCCAGTGGTTCTTGAGAAGAAGATTTTTTAATGACCCAACCCTATTTTTGTCTTTTCTTGATTATCTCCCCTTGCGAGGGGATATGTCCTTTAATTTTAACAATTTAAAATCCCCTCTACCCAAGGATGCTTTGTACCAAGTTTGGTCAAAAATGGCCCAGTGGTTTTTGAGAAGAAGTCGAAAATGTTAAAAGTTTACAGGCGGATGGACAGACAGACAGACAGCTGGACAGACGTACGACGGACAAAATGTGATCAGAAAAGGCTCACTTGAGCCTTCGGCTCAGGTGAGCTAAAAACACAAACAGAATTATGTATCTTAGTGTAGTCTACTTGTGTGCCAAGTTATACTGAAATCAAGACTAAAACTGTAGGAGGAGTATCATTTTTAAAAGAATATCACAGAATTTCTTAAACTACTTTTAGAACCAACAGCAACATAGTTCATTGAAATGTCTTTTATAAACAAGAGGCCCATGGGCCACATCGCTCACCTGAGCACCAAGGGTAGGACTAGTATAAAATGGCTTTTTATTGTAAAGTTTATCCCAAAAGTAGGCCCATGACCAATCATGGATTTGCTATTTTTTAGAAAATGATTGAGAAGAAGATTTTTAAAGAATTTTCCTATATATTTCTATGTAAAACTTTGGTTGGCCAATTTGGCCCCGCCCTAGCCCCAGGGTCATGATTTGAATAAAATTGAATCTACACAACCTGAACATGCTTCCATATAAATATGATGAATTATGGCTTTGTCATTTTTGAGAAGAAGATTTTTAAAGAATTTCCTATATATATCTAAGTAAAACTTTTTCGGCCATTTTGGCCCCGCTCTACCCCTGGGGGTCATGATTTGAACAAACTTGAATCTACACTACCTGATCATGTTTCCATATAAATATGATAAATTATGGCTTTATCATTCTTGAGAAGAAGATTTTAAAAGAATTTTCCTATATATTTTTATGTAAAACTTTGGTCGGCCATTTTGGCCCCACCCTTACCCGGGGGGTCATGATTTGAACAAACTTGAATCTACACTACATGAGCATGCTTCCATATAAATATGACGAACTATGGCTTTGTCATTCTTAAAAGAAGATTTTGAAAGAATTTTTCTATATATTTCTATGTAAAACTTTGGTCGGCCATTTTGGCCCTGCCCTTACCTGGGGGGTCATGATTTGAACAAACTTGAATCTACACTACATGAGCATGCTCCCATATTAATATGATGAATTATGGCTTTGTCATTCTTGAGAAGAAAATTTTGAAAGAATTTTCCTATATATTTCTATGTAAAACTTTGGTCGGCCATTTTGGCCCTGCCCTTACCCAGGGGGTCATGATTTGAACAAACTTGAATTTACATTACATGAGCATGCTCCCATATCAATATCATGAATTATGGCTTTGTCATTCTTGAGAAGAAGATTTTTAAAGAATTTTCCTATATATTTCTATGTAAAACTTTGGAGGGCCATTTTGGCCCTGCCCTTACCTGGGGGGTCATGATTTGAACAAAATTGAATCTACATTACATGAGCATGCTCCCATTTTGATATGATGAATTATGGCTTTGTCATTCTTGAGAAGAAGATTTTGAAAGAATTTTCCAATATATTTCTATGTAATTCCGGCCATTTTCCCCGATTAAGGGGAGGTTCATGATTTGAACAAACTTGAATCTACACTACATGAGCATGCTCCCATATAAATATGATGAATTATGGCTTTGTCATTCTTGAGAAGAAGATTTTCAAAGAATTTTCCTATATATTTTTATGTAAAATTTTGGTCGGCCATTTTGGCCCCACCCTTACCCCCGGGGGGCCATGATTTGAACAAACATGAATGTACACTACATGAGCATGCTTCCAATAATTGATCATTTTCCTTTGGCAAAGTGGTTCTTGAGAAGAAGATTTTTAAAAAAATAATGTAAAACAGAATTATCCCACCTTCTTGGTGTAGTTTGAACAAACTTGAATCCCCTGTGCCAAATACTTTATATTGAAATTATGGCCAAAATTCTTGAGAAGAAATTTTCAAAAAGTATATATTCACAGAAATATCCATTTCTAGCCCTAACCAAGGCAACACTGATTCAGTGAAAACAAAAATTGATCATAATTGTATATTAATAGATGAATTAGCTTTTATTCTTGAGTGAAAAGTTAAAACAATGTACATTCTACGTAAAATTGGTGCATCTTAGAGCAGTCTGCTTCTTGTGTGCCAAATTATATTGAAACAGGAAAATTCAGAAGAAGTTTTGAAAGTATATACTATGTAAAACTTAGCCATTTTGGCTAGTAACCAAGGAATCACTGTTCAGTGAAAACAAACTGTGATCATAATTGTACATAGTGCTAGTTTATGATGAATTATGGCTTTGTCATTCTTGAGAATGAGTTAAAGAACCTATATAGTCTAGTATGTAAAATTTTAATCCTTGGCCCCGTCTCTACCCCCGGGGGTCCCCATGTTGCAGTAGGTGCTGATAATAAAAAGGATGAATGTATGGCTTTGTATGCTGGAAGAAGATTTGCTCAAAGGCCCTGAAAGCTGAACACAGGACAAAATTTGTAGCCCTTCACCTGCAAGTGGTGGCGTCTCCATATGAGTGAAAAATTCTTGAGAGGGACGTTAAACAATATACAATCAATCAGTCAATATACATATGTATTGAAATTATACTAAAATATAGGAGGGGTAGCATTTCTACAAAATTTCACAGAAATTTCTATTTTTAGTAACTACGGCAACATTTTTAAAGAAGATTTTTAAAAACCGATATGTAAAACAGAGTTATGTATCTTATTGTAATCAACTTTTTTGCCAAGTTATATTGAAATCAGACCAAAACTGTAAAGGAGTACTATATATTTTGAATAATTGTTTCCAGACAGAGGGACAGACAGCTACACAGACTGCTAGATGAACAGATATTTTCATTTCTAAAAATTTTGGATAAAACTGAATTTATTCCGACCATATAATAGTAACTACTATGTAGTTAAAAGTCAATCTTTCAAAGGAGCATTTGAAAGTTTTCCTATATATTTGTATTTTTGGTAAGATTCCATCAATGTTTATACAAACTTATCTAACCCATATATATTATCTGAATTAATGAAATACCTGTATTTTGAAAAGAAGATTTTGAAAGAATTTTCCTATATATTTACATTTCAAAGATTCAATTTCACTTCCATCATCTTGAACAAACTTGAATCCAACTGAACATGCTTCCATATAAACTTGAAATTTGACGAATGCTCTTGAGAAGAAGATTTTTAAAGTGTCTATATATTTCTATGTAAAACTTTTACCATTTTCTGCCCTTCTGGGGGGTCAAATTTGAACAAACTTGAATCTGGGTACCTGGCAGCTTTATAATAAAGTATTTATATTTTAATTTTAAAAATATATATTTAAGGCCATAATAAATAAATTAAACTTGAATCTACACTACCTGAGCATGCTTCCATATAAAAATGATGAATTAGGGCTTTGTCATTCTTGAGAAGAAGATTTTGAAAGAATTTTCCTATATATTTCTATGTAAAACTTAGCCATTTTGGCCTTGCCCTTACCCAGGGGGTCATGATTTGAACAAACTTGCATCTATACTACATGAGCATGCTCCCATATTAATATGATGAATTATGGCTTTGTCATTCTTGAGAAGAAGATTTTGAAAGAATTTTCCTATATATCTCTAGTATGTAAAATTTTAGTCGACCATTTTGGCCCCGCCCTACCCCCACATCATCAACAAACTTGAATCTACACTACCAAGCATGCTTCCATAATAAAAATTATGAATATGGCTTTGTCATTCTTAGAAGAAATTTTTAAAGAATTTTCCTATATATTTCTATGTAAAACTTTGTCGGCCATTTTCACGCCCTTACCCGGGGGGTCAAAACAAACTAGAATCTACACTACATGAGCAATGCTCCCATATTAATATGATGAATTATGGCTTTGTCATTCTTGAGAAGAAGAATTTGAAAGAATTTTCCTATATATTTCTATGTAAAACTTTGGTCGGCCATTTTGGCCCCGTCCTTACCCGGGGGGTCATGATTTGAACAAACTTGAATCTACACTACATGAGCATGCTCCCATATTAATATGATGAATTATGGCTTTGTCATTCTCGAGAAGAAGATTTTTAAAGAATTTTCCTATATATTTCTATGTAAAACTTTGGTCGGCCATTTTGGCCTTGCCCTTACCCAGGGGGCCATGATTTGAACAAACATGAATTTACATTATCTGAGGATGTTTCCCCATAAGTTTCATCTTTCCTGGCACAGTGGTTCTTGAGAAGAAGATTTTTAAAATATACCACTAAATTTTCATTAATTCCCAATTATCTCCCCTTGAATAAGGGCGTGGCCCTTCATTTGAACAAACTTGAATCCCCTTCACCAAAGGATACTTTGTGGCAAGTTTAGTTGAAATTGGCCCAGCGGTTCTTGAGAAGAAGTCAAAAATGTGAAAAGTTTACAGACAGACAGACGGACGCCGGACAAAATGTGATCAGAAAAGCTCACTTGAGCCTTCCGCTCAGGTGAGCTAAAAAAAACAATGTACAGAATTATGCATCTTTGTGTAGTTTACTTGTGTGCCAAATTATATTGAAATCAGACCAAAATTGTAGGAGCAGAAGCGTTTTGAAAGTATATCACAGAAATATCTATTTCTAGTAACCAAGGCAACACTATTCAGTGAAAACAAAAACTGATCATAATTGTATCTTAGTGTAGTTTACTTGAGTGAAAAGTTATACATATGTAGTTGCCCACGTGGTGCAGTGGTTAGAGCGTCTGCTCTAGAGTCGCGTAGAAAGGAGTCAATTAATCCTTGCGTCTCTGGTTCGAATCCCACTGTTGGACGTGGAGACCTGTCCTTCGGATGAGACCGTATAAACCAAGGCCCCATGTAGGTGCTGGCACAAAAAAGATCCCTCACTGCTCAAAGGCCCTGAAAGCTGAACACAGGACAAAATTCGTAGCCCTCCACCTGCAAGTGGTGGCGTCTCCATATGAGTGAAAAATTCTTGAGAGGGACATTAAACAACATACAATCAATCAGTCAATATACATATGTATTGAAATTATACTAAAATATAGGAGGGGTAGCATTTCTAAAGTATTTCACAGAAATTTCTATTTTTAGTAACTACGGCAACATTTTTAACGGAGATCAAAAACCGATAAACAGAGTTATGTATCTTATTGTAATCTACTTTTTTGCCAAGTTATATTGAAATCAGACCAAAACTGTAGGAGGAGTACTTAGCATTTTGAATAATTGTTTCCAGACAGATGGACAGACAGCTACACAGACTGCTAGATGAACAGATATTTTTATTCATAAAAATTTTGGATAAAACTGAATTTATTCCGACCTTATAATAGTTAACATTTACTTATCTTCCAAGTTTAAGAAAGTAACTACATGTACATGTAGTTAAAAGTCAATCTTTCAAAGGAGCATCCCAAGTTGTCCACTTTGTATTTTTGTAAGATTCCATCAATGTTTATACCAAATATCTAACCCATATATATTATCTGAATTAATTAAATACCTGTATTCAAAAGATAAAAATATATGAACATGTTTCTAACTTACATTTCAAAGATTCAATTTCACTTCCATCATCTTCTGATCCAACTGAACTGTCATCCTCACTTGAATTTGATGAATGCTCAGGATCTGTGTCTTTATTAGTTTTACCTTTTCGTCTTCTGGAAATTTTCATACTACTGGGTCCTGGCAGCTTTATAATAAAGTATTTATATTTTAATTTTAAAAATTATATTTAAGGCCATAATAAATAAATTACTAGATTCTCATCCGAATGTTTTTAAAAAATCGAGGCTGGCAGCTTTTATTTCATATTTTTTTTATTTTTTCAATTTTGCAGATTTTTATTGACCTTGTCAATCAGTGTAATTTTATCTACAATACCCGAATAGGAGTCATAGTAGAGGTCCAATTATCTCTTACTTAACATCATCACCAATCTTTTTCAACCAATGACCCTTGTTTAAAATATATACGCATGTATTACAGCAATTTCCATCTTTTCAGCTGTCAAAATCATGTCCATTTTCGCGGGATTTAAAATGAAAGTAGAATGGTAGATGAATACAGATTCCGATCAGAATTAAGACATAGAAAAACAGAAATAAACAAAATTGAGGCGGGGCTATAAAATCAGGCAGGCGGGAATGAGATCTAGGAATATTTTTATTATGGCCTAATGGTTCAAAAGTTATGTTAAAAAGTGTAAAAAGCTATTTTTATCATATAGGTCACAGTCAAGGTCAGATATCATTAAGATCATTGAAATTGTAAAGTATTTTGTCAACTGAAAGGACATTTAACAGTGAACATGCATGACCAAATATGATATATATATCAAAGTTTTGGTTAAAAAGTTATGCAAAAATGGAAAAAGCTATTTTAAACAGAGAGGCATATATTCACAGTCAAGGTTTACCAAAGTCATTGACCATTGGCCAGTGGCACTTTGTGAGTGAACTATAAGCCAGATTTGGCCATCTCCTTTGGAGAGAGAAGTATGCTCCAGAATTTTTTTCATATAATATGACCTTGAGTTTCACCTAGTCACAGAAACATGGTTCAATGACACTGCACACCATTACCAAAAGGCACTTGATAGAACCAAGGAGAGAAAGGACTATATTATTTGAGTATGCATACCAAATATGAAGTCTCTATCTCTTATTTTTCAAACGTAATGGCCAAGGTTAAAGTTGACAACAGACAAACAGATAAACAGACAAACAGACAGGACAAAGAGAGAGATATACGCCCTTGAATGGATCTACGGACATCCGGGCGGACAGCATGAAAAAAATGAGGATGGGGCTATAAAACGGGCGGGCGGGAATAAGAAGCATACAAAATTTTTATTATTGTCTAATGTACATATACAATATCATACTAGTTAAAATATATAATGAGAGAGGCGTTTGCATTTTTTATAAAAATAATAATAACTTTAAATTAACAAAAATAAAATTCATCTTAGATGGTAATGCCATTCTGTCATTTTCAACAATGAACATGAAAATGTAAATTAGTTAAAAAGGGTTTATTGTGTAAAGAGAACATACGGTGTAAAAAGACAGTAAAAGTAATTTAACAGCAAATATTGACTTCACAGATGATATATATATATAAAAGTTATCTAATTGTATCCACACTTAGATCAGCTATATACATAATTGGAATGTATTTGTGAAAAATTAATGCACAACAAAATGAAAATTTTAAAAGAGAAAATTTGACCATGACCTATAAATAACCAAAGTCACTACACACCCATTGGCCAGTGGCACTCTGTGAGTGAAGTATAAGCCAGATTTGGCCAAGGAGAGAGAAGATATGCTCCGGACAAGAATTTTTTCATATAATTCTATGACCTTGACTTTTCACCTAGTTTCCGTATACTAGAAACATAGTTCAACGACACTGCACACGGCTTACCAAAAGGCACTCTGTGGGTGAAGTATGAGCCAGATTCAACCAAGAGAGAGAAGATATGCTTCAGACAAGGAATTTTCATTTAATTCTGCTCTGGAGAAGAGATCTTGAATGGACTGAGGGACAGACAGCTGGACGGACAGACAGACAGATCACTATAGGGCACCCGCCAGGCGGGGCCCTAATAAAACCAGGAAGTTTAAAAGCTAAGTTTCATATAATATAGGCCTTTCATCTACATATAATAATTCAATTTACACCTTTCGATTGGAAAATTTATTTATCATGATTCTGCCCTTTAACTCCAATACACCATGAGAAAGTAAATTAAAAATTTTTGCATCAATTGATCCATTGATTTGTTTGCATAATAAGGTTAAATTTGTGAAATATATTCATTTGGTTTCATTATTTTAACTTACCTCTGATGTTGAATCAACTACTTCTACAAGTTTTCTTTTTGTTCCTACAATAACAATTATGGTACTTTGTTACATGTAGGTATAATATTAACTGGTATCAATATGATCAAAGTAATACAATAAACAAGAGGCTTAAAGCTGAGTAACTGTACAACCTATGATTTCTACTTAACGCCTTTCAGTTCAGGTGAACTTAAAAATTGACACACGGCACAAATGACTATTATCTCTTTAAGCCTTTGGCTTAGATTCTATATGATTGATTCTATATATTGTTTAATGTCCCTCTTGAGAATTTTTCACTCATATGGAGACGTCACCGTATGCCGGTGAAGGGCTTCAAATTTTGACCTTTACTCGGCACTCAGGGCCATTGAGCAGTGAGGAATCTTTATTGTGCCAACACCTGCCGCTGACATGGGGCCTCGGTTTTTAAGGTCTCATCCAAAGGACCCGCAACTTTCTTTTCAAAGTGCATGGCGAAGTAACAGTTGCTACCCACTTTACCGACTAGGTCAGTCGCGGCCGAGATATGAACTCACGACCTCCCGATCACGGAGCAAGCGCTCTACCAACTGAGCTATTTTGAAGGGTCCTTTGGCTTAGACGATCTAATAATAACAGGGTTATCATGATTTCCCCAAACATCTCCACTGATGAAATAAGCACTATCATGTTAATATACACAAGTTCAATTACAGGCAGATCACAGAAAAATATGAAGTTGAACCTCAAAGTTTTAATTCCACCATATGGCATGCCTCAACTAAGAGTGTAATAAAATTTCAAACATCTGCTATGAATATAGCTAATGAGAAAACTGCGACGAAAATTTGTTATGTATGAAATGGACAGACGCACAGACAAACAGGAAGTTGACATCGGATTTAAACGAAAATTAATCCCACCATACGGCATGCCTCAGAGAAGATTGTGTTAAAATTTCAAGCATCTACGATGAGTAGTTGCTGAGAAAACTGCGACAAAAATTTGTTATGTATGAAACACGCTACGGACAAACAGGAAGTTGACATCCCTTGAACCAAAATGTCATCCCACCATATGGCATGCCTCAGAGAAGATTGTGTTAAAATTTCCATTACAAGTAGTTGTGAGAAAATGTGACGAAAATTTGTTATGAAATATGAAACGGACAGAGGCAGGGACAAACAGCAAGTTGACATCGGATTTGAATGAAAATGTATCCCACCATATGGCATGCCTCAGAGAAGATTGTGTTAAAATTTCATTCATCTTGATGAGCAGTTGCTGAAGGAAAATTGCGACAAAAATTTGTTATGTATGAAACCGAAATATATACGCACGGACAAACAGGAAGTTGACATTGGATTTGAATGAAAATGTATCCCACCATATGGCATGCCTCAGAGAAGATTGTGTTAAAATTTCAAGCAGTCATAAGTATTCTACGTTTAGTTGCTGAGAACTGCGAGCGAAAATTTGTTTTGACTGACACACTAGACACAGACACACGGACGGACAGACAGATAGACAGACACACAATTAAAACAAAACCTTTCGGAGCGGGGGAATAATAAGGGTAATCATGATTTCCCCAAAAACTTTTAAATCATATCTCAGTTTAGACATCTGTCTTTAAATACAGGTGATTTTTGGTGGCTCAATTTCAACCTCTAAAAGTTCTTTATCTTTTGAATAGAACCTCCGGTCCCGTTTTTTTTCTCTGTATAACTAAGTTATTTATCAAGTTTATTTATACCTGATCTCTCAAACTTCTGATTTTAGAAGTTTTCTATCTCTCAATTGAAAACATGGGCCCTGTCTTACATATTTCATTGAATTTTACTCTCTATCAGAACTGATAATGGATTTTCTTTACTTTTCACCTCTCGAACCTCTTGATCTCTCAAGCTTTTCTTGCAGTCCCTGAACTTTTAGAGATCCAGAAACACCTACATTATAATATCATACAAAACAAGCATCCCTTGCCAACCGGTCACACCCACAGTGTGCTCCTCTTTAATATCAAGAAATAATTGGAAAATCCATTGTCAATTCAGTGTATGAATAATGGACTAACTATTAGTATGAAATATATCAGTAGGGATCTGACTCAATAGCAAATTGTATTTGCTGACAATTACGTGCAAGATCATTGTATCGACCATAGAACTTATTAAATAATGACTTTAAATGATACTGCTGATGTTATTGTTTCATTGTGAATTGCATAACTGTAGAAGGTTATATAATTTTAAAAATATTATATCTTTAGTAATCATGGTATTTTATAACATAATTGAAATATATACTTTCAAGGCGTAACATATGAAGGAATGGTTATGACAATATGGTTTAAAAAATACACATTTAAACCTCTAAAAGTCATAAGTATTAACAGCCATTTACCTTTCACAAGTCCTGATGAACTGCCAGCTTTGAAAGGCTTCTTTTGCATCTGCGTAACTATAAAAGAAAATGGAGCAATAATATGACTAGAATTAAAATCAAAACCTTTCCAGAATACTAATAACATAAATAAACAGCAGGGTTTGAATGCATAAAATATCTAAGAATTTAGCCTTTTTTGCAAATACTCTAACTTCAAAACTTTTTTTTTTATCAAAACTCAATTTTTTTAAAATTTTTTTTAATTTCAACAATGTTAATGTTTCATTATTCAACCAAAAAAAAATGTGCAAAAAACTACAAAAAAGCAAGGTTTATGAGGGACTTTTTCTTGATGTGGAAGGATATTTACCAGATAATTCTGCAAATCTGCACATTTTATTAAATTTAATATCTTCGAACTTCAGAAAGTCACATACTTTTACTTGGAAAATATTTTCCATTAATATTGCTAAGAAATGTAGGTCTTGATTTAAATTTTCAAACAAGTTTTACACCTACTTTCAACAAATTTTTCAAAAACGAAGATATGTAAACAAAAAAAAATTGAAATACAATTTACACCATTTTTCGCCTGAAAATCACATATTTTGACCAAAATTATTATCATCACTAACCCCAACTTTTTCTTTCATTATTTTTAAGTACTCGATACTTGTGACTGATCGCCACTTAAGTAATAAAAAGCTTGATTTAAGAAAAAGTTTTATTGCCTTTTTTGTTTTCCAATAAGTACTATATATTTTTGAATATCTTTTTAGTATATATATATAACTTTTTAGTGCAAAAGGGTCACACAATAATTCACGCACAATCAAGATTTGTTCAATGATAAATATTGTTCAAAATATTTTACCTAGAATAAAGTTACCCCAAAATCAGGTTCATTTTTAATTTTTTCCAAATTATGGCTTAATTTCCATACAATTGTAGATTTAATCAATATAGAGGATTCCCTTATTCCTGGACAATTGAAAAAGATCTAAGGTGCACTTATAGGGACAGGGGCATTTAATTGAGATTTTACAGTTACTGTATTATAAAAGGAAAATAGCTAACCATCAAGCATTTTTAGAGTATCCAAAGCAGTAATCCAGGCATCTTTTGTAAAGTACTTCCTAGCACCAGCTTGCACTTTCTTATCAAAAAGTAAATCCTTTCTATGCTTTAAATCCTCTAGTAGAATAGTAACATCCTCCTCCTCAACCTGTCTCGTAGAATCTAGCAGTTCCAATACGGGAACATCTTGTGCCATCAAGCCTAAGAATTCTGCAACATAATTATATGAGATAAATGTTTGTTAAATGATTCTCAGTCAAGAAGCTTTTCTTCTAATGATAAAGGAGATCCAAGGGTAACAAGCAAATTCAAAGAATTATGGTCCCCAGCTTTCGGTATCTTTGTGGGCAAAATATCATTTTTAGGGTCAAGGTCAATAGGTCAATTTTTTGGTATCCCATGAAAGGTCTTGCCATATACATATATTTAAAATATGAAAGTCCTAGTTCCTACTGTTCAAAAGTTGTGACCAAGCTCAACATTTTTAAAAAGAACTTAAAACTCCAAGGTCAAGGTCAAAGGGTCAAAGTTCTTGGCATGCAATGAAAGGTCATCTCACAAGGATTACATACGTGAAGTACGAAAGACCTAGCTCTTACCATTTAAAAGTTATGGTCAAGGTTAAAGTTTTTTTAGAAGTACGTAAATCTCCAAGGTCAGGGTTCATAGGTCAAAGTTTTTGGTATCCAATGAAAAGTGTTTCCTTAAAGAATAATTGTGTGAAATATAAAAGTCCTTGTATCTACCCTTCAAAAGTTGTGACCAAGGTTATTATTTTTAAAAAGTAGTTAAAACTCCAAGGTCAAGGTCAAAAGGTCAAAGTTCTTGGTATCCAATGAAAGGTTATCTTACAAGAATAACATATGTGAAGTATAAAAGCCATAGCCCTTACCGTTCAAAAATGATGGTAAAGGATATAGTTTTATCATAAGTACGTAAATTTCCAAGGTCAAAAGGTCAAAGTTGTTGGTATTCCGTGAAAGGTCTTGTCACAAAGAATAAATAAGTGAAATTTGAAAGTCCTAGTACCTACCATTCAAAAGTTATGGCCAAAGTAAAAGTTTGGAATTTTTTAGTAAAAGTAGTTGAAACTCAAAGGTCAAGGTCAAGAGGTCAAATTTGGTGGTACTCAAAGAAAGGTCTTTCCACAAGGAATACACATATAAAATATGAAAATCATAGCTCCACTAAATCAAAAGTTATGGGCAAGGTTAAAGTTTTTGTGACCTAATTATGACAACGAGCACACGGCAGGTGTGACCGACAGACAGATGAATGAGATTTTATGTCCCCTCGCTTTCGTGAAAGCGGGGGACAAAAATCTCATTACAGATATACTCAATTAAATAATTTTTTGTGGAAAAAAAGTTTAACTAGAACTGTCCAATAGGGACATATACCCCCACTAGGTTTTTCAGAGTAAGATGCCAATCACAAATATTTATGGATTTATTAAGAGTCGTTCACTATTTTCTTGGAAGCAATGAGTGAAAATATAATTGCTCCTTATACTTTTTTTCTCATTAATGAAACTAAGTTGCAACCAAATAAAATATCAATACACGGTAAATTTTTTTTAAATTTTTTTTTTAAATAAATTGCAACTATTTGTCATGATACTTTGCAAATTGATTGTTGTAAAAAACATTAAACAGAATCAAATTAATCTATTTACATTTATACCAAATTCATTCTAAAAAAAATAAAGTGCGCCACCTCAGCATGATACTTTCATCAAATATTGTTCATTCAATTATTATAAACAGTTTAGAGTGCAAGAAAATCTAATCAACCTTTAAAAGGTAGGCCTTTCAATTGCCGTTAGGGGTCAGTGTTATGAACGATAACTCACTGCTGAAACTTGTTTAGAGCAGACTCGGGGTATCTAACTGTTTATACGCAAGACAGTTTTTAGCATTTCTCAGGTGTTTCTTTGCTTTCAGTAGAATCTAGTGGTTTTAAAATTTAGCACCAATGTTAAACTTATTTACTTTATAGTTGCGGACATCAGTTTAACGCAAATAATTCAAATTTTTAATTAAAATAAAAAGTGAAATCTACCCTCCTTCTTAGTTCTAACCTATTAAAATTTTTATACTCTGTCGTTCCCCTTCGTGCTTAGTAACACAAAAAAGATGATCAATTGTTGCATTTACTTGTAAAAATATATATATTTACATAGGAAGCGAAAAAGTGCGAACACAAAAAACATGACATTAAATTTTCTTCTTCATAATAATCGTCAAAGAGAGTTAAAACTATTGAATATAGTCTGTTCCCTATTCATTTGACCCTGTTCGTTCAGGTAGAGAGAAGGCATTCTCTTTCTCTTGGTCAAAGCTTTTTTGTGAACAAAACAATGTATTTCATTTCATTTCATTTTATTCAGGTAAAAATATCACAGAATGTCATGATTAACAAATTAAAACATTAAAGACTAGCATACTACTAGAAAAAAAATACACACACATTATCTCAGCACTGTGCTAATTAAGAAAGATCAATTTAACATATATATGTAATTATTATTAAATACATTGCATGACATACAGTTGATAAATATTACCTGAGGATAGCCCATAAAAGCCTTATTAAAAAGCTTATTTCCAATGGGGTCCTCAATTAATAGCCAATAATTATGTTAGTAAACAAAAAATAACAAAATTACATAAACATTGGAATTTAGGCAGGTACTTTTATGAGTATAGCATAATGCTTTGAAAAATGACATGTTTACAGTAGCATGTTTTGTCTTGGTAATTATCACAAAATGCTTATGATACTAAAATAATAAATAAACAATAAAATTAGACAAGCATTTTTATGTAGTAACACTAGTATTTTAACACTAGTATTTGTAGATGAATAAGATTTTACAGCTTTCTTAAAGCTTTGTTTAGTTTTCACCTCTTTAATCTCCAAGGGCAATGAATTCCAATCTTTGATTGCATTATAAAAAAAAACATGAAGACTCTTTCCCTTTTATCTTTGGTATAATAAAATTCTTATTTGTAGCACTTCTTGTAATATTATTATTTAAAACAAAATGTTCATGGAGGTAAGCTGGTGCATTACCATGATATATATTAAAAACATGATTTAATCTTAATTGTTTAGCCCTATCCTCCACTCTTAACATATTTAGAGAGTTTAAAATATTATTAGAAATACTCTCTCTAGGACTAAGGTTTAAAATGAACCGTACTACTTTGTTCTGGGTTACTTGTAATCTGTGTTTCAGTTGCTTGTTTATTCCACAATACCAAGAAGAACTGGCATAGTCAAAATAACATTGTATCAAGGCAGAACATAGGGTCTATCTAGAATGTGTACTAAGACAGGATGCATTTCTATATAAAAACTTAAGTCTAGCATTAACTTTTTGTATGATACTTAAAACAATATTTTCACATGAAAGAAACTTGTCAATACAGATTCCTAAATATTTAACACTGTCAGAACCTTTAATAATATGACCATTACACACTATTTTAAAATCTGTGATACTTTTCAGCTTTCTTGGAGGACCAAATAAAATAGATTCTGTCTTACCTAAATGGAGTGACAATCTATTGTCAACTAACCAAGAAGAACATTTGTCAAGAACAATGCCCAGTTTTTGAGCAATAATAACAGGATCTCTGTGTGCATAAAAAATGGCACTGTCATCCGCATATAAAATTAATTTACAGTCATCATCAATACTGACAGTCATATCGTTGACATATATTAAAAATAATAGAGGTCCTAAGATGCTGCCTTGAGGAACACCACAATTTACAGTATTAAAGTCTGAAGAAGTATTGTTGACATGAACTTGTTGTTGTCTACAAGACAGATAAGATTTGAACCACTCAGTGGATAAAACTCCTAAAACTTTTAACTTATCACATAAAATTGTATGATCAACAGTGTCAAAAGCTTTTTGCAAATCTAACATTACCATACCTGTAAAAAGCCCTTTGGATGTATTACTTTTAATAAAATCTAACATATGTATTAAACAAGTATCTGTTGAAAATTTGTTTCTAAAACCTGATTGATAAGAATACAACAAGTGATTATTGTTTAAAAAATCTAAAAGTTGAACATGGACACATTTTTCCAAAATCTTTGAAACTATACATAATATACTGACAGGCCTATAATTTCCCACTTCAAGGGAATTTCCTTTCTTGAACAAAGACTTAACTCTTGCCATTTTAAAATCATCTGGTACAATACCGGTGGTTATAGATTTGTTTACAATGGACATTATAGGTTCTTTAATATAAAAAGCACCATCTTTCAAAAACCTTGCTGGTATATTATCTAAACCAGTACTTTTATTTACATTCAAACTTTTTAGTTCTTTGTATATAAAATCTTCAGTCACAGGTTGAAGTACAAAAGTTTTGTTTTCTATGTTTTTATCTGCATAAAACTGTCTAAAAACCCTTGAGGTGACAGAAAACATATATGAAGGATTAGGTAATTTACTTACAAGTTTTAATGCAATAGTTGTAAAAAAACAGTTAAAATAATCTGCTAAAGTTTTCCCTTCATGTTGTACTATACCATCTATGTTTAAGACAATGTTTTCACTACTTTTTTGTTTATATTTGTATCCTATGTTCTTGAGTTGTTGCCACAATTTTTTAGGTTCTGACCTATTTTCTTCAATTTTGTCTTGAAAGTAAGAGGATCTAGCTTTCCTTACTTCTCTCTGCACTTGATTTCTCAATTTACAAAATATCTTATTGTCTTCCTGACTTTTATGCTTTCTATATAAATACAAATGTTTATCTCTATCTCTAATGAGGCCTAAAATATATGAAGTCATCCATGGCTCTGTTCTTTGCTTAACCCTTATTTCAACAATAGGAGCTAATGTATCTAAAATATTGGTAAATATCTGTTTAAAAATAGACCAGGCTTTATTGACACATGATGTGTTTACACATTCACTCCAATCTACACTTGATAAAAGAAACTGTAACGTTTCGATGGAATAATTTTTCAAACATCTTATCTTGATAATATTATGACTTTTAAAATGGCCCCTTGGGACTTTTCTAGTACAAAATGTCAAAAAATGATCACTAATACCAGTGGTTATAACACCAGAGTTAACAATATTTTCTTTAAAATTACATAAAATGTGATCAATAATAGACTCTGTTTCACATGTAACTCTTGTAGGGTCAAGTATAATTTGGCATAAGC